TAATCCTCCGGACGTATCAACCCCGAAGCCGTATGATGCATGGATCACTCACGTTGCAATATCTCCGTGCCCTGAGGTCTTGGTTGAAGTCAGATAACTCTTGGTGCAGGCCATCACCGTGACCGTTGGACTAACCTGAAATACAGGTCTTCGACGACTGCCCGGTCGTCAACCGCAGTACGAGACCATCAACTTTACTGATTGAACTCATGTGGTACGCCGGCCACCACAATGAATCATAGCTATTCGAAAAGGATGATGATCGCCTTGGCGATCACATTTCTCATGCTTCCCATAGTCTTCGTCTCTTTACGCTTATGGGCAAAAAGACTTTCGAAGCGCATAGGGTGGGACGACTTCCTCACAGTCGGCGCGTTGCTAATCTCCATGACATGTTGTACCCTTCAAATACTCAGTAAGTATTCAAGTCCATACAGCATTACAAGCCAACTAACTCTGTGGTCAGCGGCTCAGTATGGCTACCTGGGCGCACACCAGCCTTTGGATGCGAACGGACAACCGATCATGGATGACCCTGGCCTAATCTTCTTTGAAAGAACGAAATTCGCACTGAACATGATTTCGATCATAGGTCTTGGCCTCACGAAGTGCTCAATCCTGATACTGTACAAGACAATCTTCGACGTCCAGAAGTTTCGGACCGCTGTATACATTTTACTTGCATTCGTGATCGGCTGGACCACAAGCTTCGCATTCTCTCATCTATTCACCTGCTACCCAATCACGGTCTTCATCGAACCTTACTATGAAAATAGCTGCGTGGAAACAGTTCCTATGTTCTTAGCTCTGCTTGTAAGTACATGCACATTCAGAGTATATGTTTATTCCACATCCTATCGAGTCACGCTTGTGTGACCTCATTATCGATCTTTCACTGATGTGATTTTTAGTACACGGATGTCATTGCGGACGTTGCGATTCTTATTCTCCCGATACCCATAATACTCAGCATACGGATGGAAACCAGGAAGAAGCTGGCAGTAATTGGCATGCTCACTCTTGGGGCAGCGTAAGACCTTTCACCCACCGAAATGTTGTCTCACTAACAAGGCAGTGTATGTGCGGTGAGCGTCACTCGAGTTATTGCAACATATTCCATCGCGAAAGAATACATCAAACATCCCGACGACGTCGTTTACTATACGGCACCCGTCTTCTTCTGGACCAACATCGAGCTCTCGTTGGGCGTGGTTTGTGCTTGCCTTCCGACTTTGCGGCCCATCTGGTTCTATTTCTACCCTAGGAAACCGACAGAGACGAGCTCAGGCTACGCATACGGATATGGCTCAGCGAGCCTCAACTACGGGTCATCACAAGCCAATGGGACACGGACCAGTATCGCGAACAAGTTCCCACGAAAACCGTACAGAGAGATCGACGAGATCGAGCTGACGCGCCACGAGAGATCACCTGGAACTCCACCAGAAGAAGCCTCGTCGACAAATCAGGGCGGGATTTTGAAGGCCGTCACGATTCACCAGACGCTAGACTGATAAGCTCAGGTAACGGAACGAGGAGACAGTCTCTGTGCCATGTAGGCTAGAGCCCGGCTGCGCTAATGGCATGCTGGGTGCCGTTACGAGGCGGCATGTCAACATCCGCAATGCCGGGGACATGAGTAAAACTCACAATGACGGCCAGTATGGATTCTCGGTGCTTCTTCGTAGCTACCCGGCCCCATGTTCAAAAGCGGAGACTGTATCGAGCATGGGATAGATTGGCTGCATGATGCTCCTGGCCCTCCCTGGTCCTCAACCACGGACCGATGTAACCTTTCATACCTCGATAAAGTTTTCGGTCATTCGTACAACCCAATGCTGAATTGTATTTGGCTTTCTCCATCGATTCGCCTTCCAGTACCACCTTGGACATGGCACTGAAGACTGAAGTGAGCTGCGAGAGGGTCTTACATGTATCTATGTATTGTATACACAGATCTAGTGTGGGGCCCAACCTTCAAAGGGTCAGTGCACCCGGGGTTAGCCCACGGACGGCATAGAAGACGCTTCGCCCAACCGGGTTAGACGTTCAAGCCACCCGAACCCTGATGAGGTTCTTTCTAACCGCAGTGGAGTGATGTTGTCGACGAAGACAATAGTCTATCCCTACACTCTTACTTGCAGCAACAGCTCATGTCGGACATCACATCTAGATCAGTCTACGTCTTTCATAACAGCAGATGTGATTGGCAAACAAGTCAGGGGAAATGCTCCATATATCGGAGGACCGACCCTATTTTCTTCCCGAGAGCCAGGCCAATTCCTTTTCGCTTATCAAGCAACTATAGCGACAAATCCGTACCGATGCAAGTTAAAATGAAAAGCTGAGCCGCTGATTATCCTGAACGCTGCCCATTGCCTCCCCCGTTGTGCATCATGAAGTTTCTCTCACTTCTCTCCTTCGTCACCGCGGTGTCTGCACTAGTTGTACGACAAGATACTGTTGCTGCAGATCTGAAGAAGCTCGTGTCTACACCATCTTCCGTCTCTGTGGAGATCCGAGCACGATGGAGTGATTACAACGCACCACTACCGGCTGTGGTCGTGTCAGTCCAGGCCGAGAAGGATATCGCGGCTATCGTCAGTCTACATGTCCAACGACTAAAGCGTAGACGATTGAATTGACATGGCACAGGTCAATTACTGCACAAAGGCTGGCATCCCCTTTCTCGCACAGAATGGAGGTGTTGGATGGGCAAAGACTTTTAATCTGGGACAGTGGGGTGTCCTCATTGACATTGCTGCTCTCAACATGGTCACTGTCGCCGCAGACAAGAAAACCGCGACGATTGGTGGGGGTGCATCAGTCAGCGAAGTCGTTGCAGCAGCTAACGCTGCTGGCGCGTTGGTCATCACTGGTAACTGTAACTGCGTCGGTGCTCTGGGTGCCCTGCTTGGCGGCGGCTATGGTATGCCACTATCATCCGCGTTCAAGTTCACCAAACTGATACAGACACAGGCAACCTCATGGGCGAAGTCGGTTTCGGCGTCGACAACATCATCTCAATGCGAGTGATCCTATCAGACGGACGCATTGTCACTGCCTCACAAACATCCCATCCTGACCTTTACTGGGCCCTCCGAGGCGCAGGA